CGTTTTCACCCGAAACGAGGGAGAAAGTCTCGTGGACTGCGTCAACATAAATATCGTATAAAAACCAAACAGCTGCAGTACAACGAGTTTCATCCGTCCTCATCTGGTGAGATCGACCAACGAATCCCTTCTTCATGCACTTTCATTCGAAATGAAGGTCCCCCTAACAATATTATCTTAGGAGATTCATCAAAATTAACTTTCTCTAAATATCTAACTATTTTCCCTCTTATAATTTATTCCACACTAAACAGATAATATTAAAACGTATGCACAAAAGATACTTATTTACCAAGAATAAAATGTTCAGCCGCTTAACTCTGCTCACCGGATTGTTATCCGGTAGTTCAATACTCCTAATAAGCATTGACTTTAAAATTAGAAAGTTAATTTTACAACCATGGCTGGAAGGAAAATTAAGAAAAGTGCTAATATCTGTTTGCTTCCTATTATCACCCTTCCTAACTTAACCTTTATGACAATCTGACATTAGACTTTATTAAAATCCTGATTTTGACCGATATTGCGTATAGCTGTCGACACACACTCGAGCAAAAGTAGCAGTACAAATATAAAAATATTTTCTTAATGAAATCTATATAAATGTTAGGATTGACCCAGAATTTCTTCTTGACCGAATGTGTATGTAAAAATCCAGCTTTTCATTGATAACTTTGTTTTCTTACATTGATATAAATAATAATATGATTTTAAACATTTTATGATGCATTAATGACCATGAATGAGTCATAAAATAAAATCTGGCTCAAAAAGTTCATTTCGTTAATTTCGTCAAGAGCCTTCAGAAATAAATTTTATTTGGGTATACGATTTGGAAATCGTTATGAACGAGTGGGTAATATGTTAGTGGCATTCAAACGGATAACTACATAAAAAATCCATAATACAGCTAGCAAATAATTCTATAATATAAATTAATAGTTTTCAGTAGCAAAAGACTAACGTGTATGCACTACGGGCTTTAGTATTAGTAATAGAACTTGTTTTAATTGCCCCCTTACGCAACTTTCTGCAAATGACAGAGTCTCACCAACCTGCTAGTGTTATCGACACTAAATATGGTGGTGCTGAGGGTGCCGACGCAATGTACGTTAAGCTGGTGTCTCAGGATGATCACGAATTTTATGTAAAAAGAGAATATGCGTTGACTAGTGGTACTATTAAGGCTATGCTTTCAGGCCCAGGTTGGTTTTACTGCTATTTTATTATTTATATTTGTCAGATTGTTTAATTATTAATTTAACATTTGATTAATTGTATTTCTGCATGTGTTTTCCTGGATACATGTTATATTATAATGATCGTGGAAAATTTTCTTTTCGCTCCCTAATTTTATTATATTGGCTAACCCTCTATTGGTTTTTAAAATTCTGCATAATATTATTTTGCATCCTGATCCACCCAGTCTGGTTACATATTATTCCGACTTATTTTTGTGGGGCTTTTATTTTCAACAGTCGGTTAATTATTATGATATATGTTTATATTCAACTTAATGTACGCAAGCTCCTTACATTTAGTCCTTTTAATTACTTCCCTGTTTAGTATATGACCAAATTTAGTAAATCAATATATTAAATGGAGAGAAGCTGTTCGATTTTTCGTTACCTACTTTGGCTGATACATTGTAATCCATACCTTTATTATGATTGCCTCATCAGCATAAGTATGTCGGTTTGTATTTATGTATTCATGAGATTGTAGTGATTATGTGAGCCTTATTATCAATTTTGCGGAATCGTTTATTTTTTAATTTGACTATACTTGCTCTTTGATAATGCTGGAATGGGCTTGGTTAATGAATACCCGTTTTCATTAACTTTCTCATATTGTGACAAATATAGTTCATTTATTGTTTTCAATAATTATATGCTTATCGAGGTATCTGCGATAGTATTAGTGTAATGTCATGATTCTGGCTAGCGTGGATTCCAGATAATGTGAGTAATATTCACCAGGATGAGGATTATCCTTATATTTTGGCTATATGTGATCACTATCCTGCTATTCTGATGAATCCATGCTGAGCCTTCGTCTGCCATATAACACTTATCGTCATCCCGAACTCATGCTTCTAAAAAATTCATCAATTGCTAAGATAAGAAAGGTGTCCGTCTGCTTTCTTATTTTATATTTACACTTATATCCTTGCTTTGTTATTTTATGCTTCTCCTATATGCTCGCAAATAAGTAATTTGGCTTCAAGTCCAGCTATATAAAATTGCCGTGGATAGAGCAGAAAGAAGTTGTGGTTGACTGGAAAGATGTGTCCTCACCTAAATCGCATGTACTCTTATTACCGAAGTGCTGATAAGGGTAGTTTTGTACTGTTTGCGCGCGCTTTATCTTTACGCACCGCTCTTGAGTTATGTTAACCTGAGCTCTAATCAGATTCGGAGCTGGTCCAGCCTTTTCTCGCTTATCTGCGATTCCGTTCTCTCCTACACTGTTTTTATTCCGCTCGTCTTTGACATCTCCATATGCCACCTTTTTATCTGATGCTATATGTTAGTCAAAGTCATAATATTCCGACCCAAATGCATTTGCAAGCTGTTTTATACATTTATAACCGACCATTGGTATATTCTCTGGATGTTTTTCATTTCTGCATTTTTCTAATGTCCTATTTCCTCAAATTATATTTTTTTTGAGTTTTTAAGTGTTTATATTGAGTCCTAGTGATGTGGTTCAGATATCTCTTCTAATTGGTGTTTCCCCGAATCATATTTTCTAGTATTAGAGAATTTTTACTTAGCCTTAGACACCTGGTTCATTTGTCTCAGTAATTGATCTTAACAAGACACATTAAATTATGGTTGATTTCATAATTTCTTCTTTGTCCCTATTAATAGAGTTATAAAGGTAACTCATGAGCAGGTCTTTGTTTGCAGGCTTTTCATTTAATTTACTCAAAAAGGATATCCTGCCACACCTTTATAATACTAAAGTTATGTATCCATTAAATCGTAGATATGAAGGCCAAGATGGTGTTCCCTTCTGTTCGCAGTTTCCTTATAGGTTTTCCCAACCTAGCTGTGTTCTCTGTCATGCTATTCGTCATTTCCATCTTCGGTCCATTGACAATCCCAAGTGTTTCATTCATTAAGTTGGGCTCTCATCCAGATACTTTGACATGCTGCGATACGGCAACATAATCAACATTTTTCATAACAGATAATTAAATAACTAAAAATGTTATTTTGCTTTCTTTACGATGCTATTCACTCGTGTTCTGTTGTAGTATCTCTATATGGCTAAATTGGCAACATTTAACCCAAGGTTTGATATTTTGATTGTAAGATCAGACAACCCTTTACAGGTCTACCTGTTTTTTAGTCCATGCCAGATGCTTTAGATGATCCTTCCCCTAATCCTGTTTTTAGTCCTCGTTCTTAATTCCATACAGAGTACGTTTGCGCATCACTGCTGGAAGTTATCCATTTGCTCATTTTAATTAAATTTTATTTCCGCCTGAGCTTATACTTAACATGCTTCTAGGGGGCAGCGATGCCCAAATGGAATTATTCCCTCAATGTATGTAATCTACATGGCAGCCTCCAGTGATATTTAGCCCAAAATGGAACTGGCTTTATGTAAGCCGGCTATTGCTTCTACATATTAAAACTACCCGGTTTGCCTACACGAAAATTTCCAACCCATGCATCATATGATCCGAAGCCAGGTCGACGCCAGGGTGGCTTTTGAGCATAAAAATAGGAGTAACCAACTCAGGCAAATAGCGCCCGTCCATTCTAATAACAATTATATCGCGAGGGCATGCAACGTGTAAAGCCATGGGATTCTCGTCATCCCAGGCCGCTATCACAAATTAGACATTCTTATAGCCTCCTAAATCATCTCAACACTAACCGTTCCTACTCTTCTAGGTCAGTTCAGGGAGAACGAAACCAACGAGGTCCACTTCAGAGAGATCCCTTCACACGTCCTACAGAAGGTCTGCAGCTACTTCGTCTACAAGGTCAGATATACGAACAGCACCAGCGAGATACCCGAGTTCCCCATTCCTCCTGAAATCTGTCTTGAACTGCTCATGGCGGCCAATTTTCTCGACTGCTGAGAAGATCGAAATAGAGACGACCCATCTGCCTTTCCTTGATATTCTCCCCCGAATAAATAAAAGAGAAAATTTTCTTCTACTGAATAATGCGTGATTCGGCTCAGCTCCAAAGTAGAGCAAAAAGGGTGTTCAGGTACGAATTGCAGGTAATCTCGACGAATAGTAATGACCCAATAGTAGGGTACGTGAGATCGAGACAAGATGAGGAAGCCATCAAGGGAAATTTATTCGGAATACAAACTTTCGCAACATGAGGCCAAGCATTTACTATACAGATTTGGATGTACAACTCCAAAAGAACAGTCAGGCTAGGCAAACGCCGCGATGAATAGGATGAGTTCGTCTTCAACCTAGTGTAGGGAATTCCTCGTCGTAATCTACCTTGACTGAGCGAGACGGCTGTGGAACTGAACCGCGAGTGAACTCTCTCGATCCGCGGATTCGAGTCGCACGTGCACCCCTCGACCCGCGTTCTTCACGTGGAAAGCCGCGACTCTCTCCTCTTCCACCACTAAAGCCTTGACCTCTGGAACGGCCTAGACCGTCTCGACCCCGACCACGATTCATTCGATCAGCGTAGGTAAAATCGATGAAGCTAAGATTATCCTGAAGAAATTATTATAATAAAAACCTACTGCGACTTTTCCTGGGGTCTCGGAGGTCTCTGCATCGCTATCCTCATTGTCCTTGACAATTTTTTGGTGAGCGACCATATTTTTGAAGACATCCTTCCCATCATTAGGTTTGCGACTGGACTTTGCTGAGAGGGCTATAGCAGGCTTGTTGGCTCTTTGCATAGCTTTATATTCATCAAGAGTCAGAGTTTTGGGTGGCTCTTCTTTCTCTTCCGTCTTTTCTTCTGGTATCTGATTCTCATCATTGACAACGTGAGAGGCGTCGTCCTCAGGAGGCGGTTCCAAGGTCACATCAAGCACGTCCTGAACTGTACCCCAATTTCCCTGGCCGAATCCCTCTCGCTTAATTACTGGCTTTATACCACTGAAACTCATAAAATAAAGTCAAATCTCACGTTTTATCAGAGCCTGAGTGACGATCGAAATCCCTATGGTCACCGTAGATCCTAGGTCGGCCCCTTCCAAACCCCCTTCCACGGAAACGTAGTCGATCCTTTTCTTCACTGGCAAGGCCGCCATCTTCCCTATGGAAATATTAGAGACGAGATAAGTACCTGATATCAGTGTCTATTTGAGCGTCACCGGAGTCATTATTATAAGGTCGGATCCTGCCTCTGTCGCCGTAAAACGGCCTAGAAGACCTAAAACCTCTGCCCCTTGAAAAGCGCGGCACTTGTTGACTATCAGCAACCTGCTCCTCATCAGGGAGATTTGCTCGTGTACTGATTCTTTGTGGACCTCCACGGCCTAAATTATTATAAAAATAACCTTACCCCTAAACCCACGTGAGAGAGCGAATGGGGGGACTGCTTCGGTCTTCTTAGGGCTTTTCTCAACTAGTTCCTCAGAGGGGGATTCAGGCGCGGGTTCTTCATCGACGGCGGTAGCCGGTGTGATAGGTGGCGCAGGAGTGGGCACAATAATGGGCACGGGCTTGCGTTTGTGGGACTCGGGAGGTTCGGAAGGCCGTTCGCTTTTTACTTTAGATTTATTATCTTCAAGAAGAAGGGAAAAGCGGCTTCGCACTTCGACAGAATATTGATATGCGTGCTCTACTTGGGCCATTGAAATAAAGATATAGGCTAAGAATGCGCGTACATCAGCACGAAGGTAAAGTCCCAACGGAAACGGTCACGGAGCGCTCGAAGAGTTGAGAAAAACAACGGTTATACTAGCAAAATAAAAAATTCGCAAACATATGTGTAAACTTTTACTAGATATCAACAACAACAAAAAATTAAATAAGTAAAGTTTATTAATTTGATGCTTTAAAATATTAAAAATGTATATAAGTATCAATTTAAAATAATTTAAGGAGATAATTTATGTTATGAGTGATCTATAACTATAGTTACGTGTGCGGCATGGTTGAGGACCAAGATAAAATTCCAGGTACCAAAAGTTTATTATGCTTAATAGCTATAAGAGAGTGGTTGTATAGTAATCTTTGGATTAAAACATTTAAAAGAAATTATTCCATCAAGTTTTTGGTTCCGAAGTGATCCAGTTAAAAAAATATCATGTGGTGGAGATCATGCAATGGTTTTGACAAGTCACAATATTTTAGTCTCATTAGTTAACCTAGACTCTGGAAGGGTATTTGGATTGGGTAAAAATAATTGGGGTCAACTTGGCGTCGGTGACACTTCTTCAAAATCTAGCCCTATTTGTCTTAAAGGTAATTTGCCTTTTCCTAAATTATTGAATTAGATAGACTTATAAAAATGTCTACGTTACAATTCTTGCGGCCCTTACTTTAATTTATTGGTTTACTTTCCTTTTATTGTCAATATAAAAATCTAAATCCCTAATACATATTTTTATATATTTTGAAACATCATATGCATCTATTTGACTTTGGTAAATTCATATAATATTACTATTAGAAAATTTAAATATTCATGATGATTTTTTTTAAATGCGTAATTTTTACCCTGTAATAGTGTTTTACACTCATTTAGACGTTTTGAGATTTCCTAAAGTGTAAAGCGGATCAAATTAATTAATGAGCAAGATTTATTAGGAATAATTAATTCCAAGTTCTAATTTAAAAAATACTTTTATTTTCGTTCATAGTAGTTTTAACTATGTTGGAACTAGGCAATACGATGTTTGCAATCTATGAGACTTTAACAATCACATAAATATACTTTAATTAGCAACATATAAAACAAAACGAAATTATGTGATCGTAATACAGATTTTCGGATTCAGAAGAACTTATTTTAAAAAATGTAACTTTCTTTGTTGCTTTGACGACATGAAGTTAGATATAGTAATTTTACCATGGAATTAAAGCGTATGATTCCCTTTTTATCAAAAATGAATATCCAAATTTTATTGTTTTTGAAGTCAAAAGTTCCAGAATTATATATATATATATATTTCATCCAAAATAACTATGCATGTTCGCTTAACCTAGTCTATGGTACATAGTTTTGCTGTAAGGGCTACAAATCATTTCTTAATCATTTTAAGGGTAACTGATTCATGATTTGGACTAGTATCTAAAATCTTCTACTATAGCAGAATACCTCTGATTTAGAGATAATGTGAAAAATAAGCACAATATATTATCTCGGTAATATAGGTGAGCAATACAACCATAAGACACTAAAAGGGCTTGCAAGGAATCTTCCGTCGCTATCATGTTGAATTTATTGCACTGGACATCTCAGGTTATAAAGAATTTTTGTATCTGAGATAATACTATGAGATTGCTTAATCTTGAAAGAGATAAAATTAAAATTAAGGCAAATAGTTCATAATTTAACTTTTGAGAGCGGCATATGATATCTTTTAAAATGTAAGGCTTCCTTATAGGTTATTGGTAATCTTATCACATTCAAAATTAATTAAATTGTTTCCTTATTTGTACACCGACATAGAACTAAAGAAAATTGGAGAACCCATTAATGACATCGCATGTGGCAGAAACCACACG